AGCAGGCTCCATGCTCAGTGCAGAGCCCGACGCAGGTCCCGATCCAACGACCCTGGGATCATGACCTGAGCCAAAATCTAGAGTTGGACGCTCAACTGACTGAGCCTCCAGGTGCCCCTGGATGGCGTGTTCTTTAAGGGCCTCTTCTCTGTATAGCACTTCCCTCAGCTGTGATTTGGGTGGGTCTTTGAGGTCCAAGCTTCCTTCTGATGAATGTCAGGAGTGCTGTTTTTTGGGGGGCGCTGATAAAGACTCATATGATTTGGAAACCAAAGTGGTAGTCAGTGGGGTTCACCTCATGTCACGAAAAGGGAGGCTTTCCCCTGGCCTCTTGGGTGAGAAAGCTCATCAGCTCCACGTCAGCCGTAGAGATACTTCCACGTACTGCCAGAATTTTCTGCAGGAGTCTTCGCTGGATTTTTTCCAGCACACGAACAACTGCTTAATTAAATCTCCAGAATTCCGTGCCATAAAGTAGGACAGCAAGTATCCTGGCCCGGACGTTTTTCAGGATAGGTGTTATCAGTTGCTGACTGTGGCTTGAGAAAACCTTAGTGTTCCCACGGATCACTGGTTTTGAGCTACATGTTGCCTCAGGAAACTCCTAAAGATAAATAAATAAAGTACAAAGTGCTTCCCTAGGTACCTGAATGGGTTGACGTGTTCTGTGGGGTTATTGGATAGACTGATTGCATCCACAAAATAAAATAAAATCCATTGATTTTAACTTAAATTAGTTCATATGGAGCCCTTTTTTCCTAGTAGCAATCTGATACCAGGACCTATGGTGTATAAAAGTTGCTTTTACAACATTAATATATATCACCAGCAAACACCGGAAATGCAGATTAAGTTCACGTAATGTCTTGGCAATTACATCTCAACATAATACTCGGTGACACAAGTCGGGGAGAGCAAGTCTGCGAGATGGCAGCGATTGGGTATCTGCCCCATGTCAGGCAGCACCCACCACTTAGATGACATAGCACTGAAACCACACGCCATGCCTGCAAGGTAGGTCATGGGCTTTCCGGTTTCACACACGAGGATACTAAGGAGCAACAGTACAGAATGCCAAGACCATGCACTTAGTAAATGGAGAACTTAAGCTTCAAATGCAGGCCTTTTAACTAAGTCTAGTTTTCTTTGCGATAATAGGACCCACGAGTAACGCTAGAGAGTACTGCTAGCCTTAACCGTGGAGTTTGACGTGTGTATCTCATCTCCCTGATCTGTGATCTGACATGAAAACCTAGAAGATTGTTCGGCTCAGCCATCTATCTTGAACTCCACCGCGTGAGCCTATTTCTTAAGTGAAAAAATATTTTTAAGATTGGCTCCAAGATTGGCTCCAAGAATATCCATTCTCCACCCCCCTAACCCTTATCCCTGCTAATCCTGGGCCCTGATGTCCTGCTTTTACCAGGCATCTGCAGCTGCCTCCACTGGGGGGGGGGGGGGGGGGGGGGAGCAGGAGGCAGGAGAGATCCTTCTTGATATTTATTGTGATGAGTCAGTGCCCAACGCCGCTTCAGGAGAGGATCACCCTCCAATAACACCAATGGTTCCAAGGATCATGGGACTGGAGATGTCAGAAATGGAGTCAGATACCCAAGGTCATCTAGCCCAGTCTCTTGGTTTGCAGATAAGAGAACTGAGGTCTGGAGAGAGAGGTGGCTTAGCTAGTGGCACATAGAGTCCCTCAGGTGGATGCTATTATCGTGTTGTATGGAGATGTGTAGATGTCCAGGCACTTTTGTGTGGCTTATTTCATTGTCTCGCAACATTCCCCATGAAGTATGCTTGTCGAATGTCACGTAGAGGTGAATAGTTCCTTTTTTCTGTTCCATTATAGAGGGAACTTGGAGATTATGTAAGACAAACCAAGGGCTTCTAAAACCGATTTTGGTCTATAATTGGTTTTCCAAATGAGGAAACTCGTTCAGAAAGAGAAATGACTCACCCAAAATATCATGACCTTACTAATCACTGAACTATGTCTATAACCCAGGAAGTATGTATACTTTGTATTTGAGAAAAAAAGATCAGCCAGGCCTGTATGACCAGATTATCCACCAGGGTGGAAGTTCAGTTTTGAAGGACACTGACATTTAATCCTGAGAGTTTTTGATGCTACTTTGTATTCTTAATGTGGCTGCATTTAGAAACGTGCATGAATCTATTAATGTTCTAAATTTAATGGTTTTGGGATCTTACTTAAATCATCTGGTATAATAGGGCATATAATATTTGTGAATGAGGCTAGGACTGGGAAAAAAATTGTGAGTTAAAAGAATTTAATATGACATGTACCCTTTTGCACGGGCAAGCAAGTTAAAGGTTCGAAGTGATCTTCGTGGAAAGATAGGACTTCAAGGAAAATGAGAAGGCAATTTGCGAATAATACATTTCCAAAATTTGTTTTCCAGGATCTAGTTCAGGTTCGAAATTAAAAGGTCCTGAACTGAGTTTAAAAGGCTCCCAGCACATCATACAAGCAGGCCAGACACTGTATCTCAAATGTAGGTAAGTGACTGTGTTGGTTCGGGGATAACCTGGTTGCCTTTCCTAAGGCAAAAATCATTCCCTGGCAGAGTAGAAACGTGGCCTCTCAGAGAACAAAGGTGGGGACTTCAGTGGTCTCTTGTGATCTGCAAAGTGCAAGCTGCATGCTCCAGCTTCACAAGGAGAGATTCACTCGGTCAAGGAGAAACACAGAAGGGATGCCCCTAGCCTTTTTTTTTTTTTTTTTTTTTTTTTTTGCATTTTGCTTCCGAGTTGTTTAAAAGCTTTCTAAACACCAAGTTGTGTCTCTGTCCAGAAGATGACCACCTTTCAAGGCCCTCAGAACAGCGCTTCCTAACGAGATGGATGCTTGGGACCTGGCCCCAGCCCTCACTGTGTTGTGTTTCCTTATCTGTGATTGCAGAGGGGAAGCAGCCCATTCATGGTCTTTGCCTGAAACAGTGAGAAAGGAAAGCAAAAGGCTGAGCATAACTAAATCTGCCTGTGGAAGGAATGATAAACAGTTCTGCAGTACTTTGACCTTGAACATGGCTCAAGCAAACCACACTGGCTTCTATAGCTGCAAATATCTATCTACACCCACTTCAAAGAAGAAGAAAACAGAATCTACAATCTATGTATTTATTAATGGTAAGATCTCCGTTTTCTACATTCTGTTTGCCGTGAGATATAAATTCACCCTGGTCCCTTGGAAAGTGGGCATTCCTTGTGGTGAAGGACATGAACCAGGAAAGAGATTCTGCCCCCAGAAACTGGTGGAATGCATTTTCAGTGCATTTCTTGAGTGTCCGCTTCAATCACAATCCTCAAGGCCCGGTAGTCAATGATGTGTTCCCTGCAAGGAGGGACTCTTGTCTAGTTCGTTCACCGCCGTATCCATAGCACCGAGAGGAAATGGGTGGCCCATTGCACAGTTGGATCAATAAATGAGTGACAAGATTTTAGTTCAATTAAGAGCAAAATAGAATGTAAGATTTTTTTTGTCCTTTAACACAACTGTATTCTCTTACATGTCAGAATTGTAAAATACTGTTCTTTCTACCCAATTACAAAGGTAATGTTGCTAATGTCCCTTGAATGTTACAAAATTGGTTCCAGTTGATGATGTTGAATTATTTCGTGTTCATCAAGCAAGTATTGTAATGACAGTAGGAGCTGGCGTGTATCATTCCGTAGTAGAATGGGCAAAAGGTAAAAATGAATTGCTTCCCAGTTATAATTTTTATGGCACTGTTTTTCACTCCTTGGAGAACGAACAAACCAAGTGATACTCAAGAGGCGAGAAATGCAAAATCCTTAAAGAAATATACGTTGACGGTAGAAACGGGTCCCCAAGAAAGAATAAGGAAAATGGCCCATCATTTTGTTCTTCCTTGCTTAGTTCCAACCAATTTCCAAAACTTGTTGAGTGGGATTTAAAGCAACAACAACAACAAACCTCCAAGGCTCTAGAGAACACAAAGCAAAATTAGTTGGCATCTGGCACAAAATCAAGTTAAAAAAACCGAACAAGCAACCATTGCTGTCGATAGTCTAAATATACATGGTGGGTCTGCCTTCTGGTGAGTCCTTGCATTGGAGCAAGTTTGGGCAGGATTCTTTTTTTTTTTTTTTTACGTTTTGAAATGAGACAACTAGACCGTGTTTTACCGAGCATAGCATGTGATCGCCCAGATTCAGAACTAGTTTTAGGAGACAGTAGAACAGTTGTGTGATACAGTCAGTAACATCTTTCTAGCTTTGATCAGCCTGATTGAGACTCAGCTGCTTCTCTGCTCCTGTTTTTACATGCTGCACTTTTCCAAGGGGGTAGATAACAACTTACTAGCAGTTTGCCATCACAGGAATGGAGCAAGTGTACTTCAAAGTACGAGGGGGGAGTAGGCCTGGGATCTTGGCTTGGGGAAGTCAGCCCACTTCCCACAGGAGGGACGTGAGGCTGGCAGGCAGAAAACGCTGGAGTGGGGAGCGGTGCAGAGTAGGGACGGAGACTTCCAGAGAGGTACCTCTGCAGCCCATGGAAAAAGCAGACACAACCTTTGATAGTGGTGCAAAAAAGTCACGGACCCAGCCACCTGTTCTCTTTTTCTAGTTCCACATAGTATGTTATGTTCTTTCTGGCACTCGTGGAGGAAAAGAAAACGCTTTTATTCCCATCTCTCCAGAGGAATGGGAGAAGATTCATTCGTACTAAAATTCTCCTAAGAAACTTTTTCTCCTGTGGGTTTATCAGAACCTGACTTGCAAATCAGATACTCAGATGGGTAAAAAAACAACCCCAAAAACATCTGTCTTATTTTTTTCCGAAAAAATAACGTTCAGCTCTTTTCACTTTTACCTCCTACACGCCTATTAAACTGTACTCTGAATAGTAACACCGGTTTTGTGGTCTTTCCTGATAGTGATGTTGATCTCATAACACACTTCATTGAAGTCCAAGGTAGCTGCGATATAGTTTACGAAGCGATTGTAACTTTTCCAAATCGTGTAACATTTTACGCATTTCCTATTTTCATTTGTTTTTTCAATTCCTTTGAAAAAATGCTGTCGTATGCTTCCATGTTAATGGAATACATACTACGTTGCAGGTTTAATTTCTTTCGGGGGCACGAAACCTACCTCTGATGAGTCAGAATTGTCTCTGGGATTAATAAAACTCCAACCAGTTCCTGATACACAGCTGTGATTACTCACTAGTCGTTCACTGGTTGTCACTTATTTATTATTGTTGAATGTTTACTTCAGAGCACATTATTCTGTCTGGAGGACTTCTCTCCTGAGAAGCATCTGCAGATGTGTTGGCATTTGATTTTGGTTTTCTCTGAAGATGAGAAACGGTGTGAGACACATCTTTTGAGAGAGACTTAGGTTTGTGGTCCGATGGGGTGCCAAGGAAAAGAACCGGGGCCGTGTAGCTTTGTCCGTGGAGAGCCAGCACGTGAATTATAACCCAAACCATTATGTAGGCATTGTTGATTCCCTGCTGTGTAACCGGCAGTCTTTCCCCTTCCCAACTGGGCACTGATTCGCACACCACATCTCATACGTGGTATACAGAAAGATCAACATTACCACTTTGGCATTACAGCTTGTTCAGATCCCCCAAGCCTCTGACATAATACGTTACATCAATTTAATTATTGGAGTAATTAACTTTAAGTACCTTAATTACTGAATGGTCTGGTAAATTACAATTTCCTTTAACGTAATAACTCCTTATGTTTGTATTTTCTTTGCGTTTAAACCAATGGGTTTGTTTGCGTCGTGCCATTTTGTTTTCGCCACCGCCCCTCGAAGCACTCCTTTTCGTTTTCCAAGCGAAGGACCTGAGACCCACTTCACGTTGAGGCTACGTGGGGAGTGACCAGAAGAGTATTAGCAGCAGAGTAAGGGAGTCAGGTTTTTCCCTTCCGAGTCTCCGTGGTGGGAGGACATCCAGAGAGGGCAAGACAGAGGCGGGGAGACCAGGGAGGGGGTTGTTGAGTGCACTGAGGCAGGAGAGCTGGTGGTCCCAGGTCGCTTTGGCAGCCACGGGGAAGTGGAGAAGTCGGTGGGTTGGAGGGATTCAGTTGACCTTGGTGGGTGGTTGGGTCGTGGCGGGTGAGGGAGAGCAGTCAGAGACCCTCGGATTTCCGGAGGGGACCTGGGCACCTTGTTCCCGGACCCATACTCAGGGAGAGCTTTGTCTCACTAAATGACACCGATGCAAAGACAGTCATCCTCTCTCCCGATACACCCTGGGCTTGGGCTTGATAAAATGACTGCTGAGTGGGAGTAGTTGAAAGACACTATATGCATTTAAAAAAATTGTTCCCGCAAAATGAATGGATTCCACCCCCGCACCCCCCCCCCCAGACTCCCTGCATAGTTATAGCTACAAAATTCTGGGTCACAAAGAAAAGCAAATTGTAAAGCGCTCCTTCATGCTTTGCTACGTGCAAACTAAGATTTCTAGATGACTAGTAATGTAAGGGCTACTTAGGTGGTGTTCACCCGCCCCTTTGCAGAGAGGAAGGAATGCGTTTGCACGGCTTTTCTGCCGCTGGTATACGCAAGAAATTGGCTCCAGCTCAACCTTTCCTAAAAGGAGGATTTCATTGAAACTATTACGATAATATGTGAGTCGGGGCCATAAAGTAAGAAAATGGAGAAGTTTTTAATGGCATCTCTGAAGTATTTAATATTTTGTCAGCGTCTCCGGTTTAGTTAGGAAGACCTTGAACTTAGCATGATGAGTTCCCCCACACTGTGAAGTCAGCCTGGATTCCTCCTCTCTCCACGACTGAGCCTTTCCGGGCTATTTAAGAATAATGTGCTCTGTTGAAAAATTATAATGGAAAAGGGGGAAAAAAATGGATGTGTGTGTGTTACCTGCTGGGTGAATATCTCCTACCTCTTCCCTGTAGAAGAAACTCATCTTTTTTTTTATCCTGCTTCTCTTTACCCGATTGCTTTTCTCTCCGAGACTATGAAAACAAAGTGGAGAATTTTCGTAACAGATTTTTTTTCTCCATTGGTTCTCTCCTATGTGTAAAACTCATGAGACATGCATAGCAGCTTAATTTCAGGTAAAAAAAAAAAAAAAAAAAAAAAAGATGATCAGACACGCTGGGTACATCATTGAAAAGTAGCCGAGGTTCTAATGACTCATATTCTGGGAGAGATGGGACACCTGGCTGGCTCATTCAGTGGAGCATGTGACTCTCGCTCTTGGGGTCGTGAGTTCGAACCCCATGTTGGGCACAGAGATTACTTAAAAGCATTTTCCAGATATTCTGGGAAGAGAATGATCATCACGCCTTCACGGAAAATGAGAAGAAGCTCTACCTGGCTATGGGACGCTCAGCATATAAAAATACTAATGGCACAGACATTCTGAGAAGGGTCCAATTACTCACTTGTTTTTGTTTTTATTTTTTAAATGTTTATTTTTGAGAGAGAGAGAGAGAGAGCACGAGGAGAGGGGCAGAGGGAGAGGGAGTCACAGAATCTGAAACAGGTTCCAGGCTCTGAGCTGGCAGCACAGCCAGAGCTGAGCCACCCAGGCGTCCCTCATTTGAGTTATTTTATTTTTGAGAGTGGGAGAGAGAGGGTGGGGGGGCGGGGGAAGGGTAGAGAGAGAGGGAGACAGAGAATCCAAAGCAGGCTCCATACTGTCAGTGCAGAGCCTGATGTAGGACACAGGGCTTGAAGTCACAAGCCGTGAGATCATGACCTGAGCCAACGTCTTAACGACTGAGTCACTAGGGCACAGCCCGATGTACTCGTTTGTACAGTACTTGAGTTTCCTGAAGAGCTTTTACATAATTATCTCTGAGGTAAACTATGCGGGTCTTATTTCTTCCCTTTTCTGGATGAGAGAGCAGCTTCAGCGACCTTCATGAGACAGAGCTAATAAAATGACAAGCCAGGATGGGGATCCGGGTGATCCCCGGGTGTTGTCACGACCCTGGCGTTTCAGCTGCTGACTTCAGACAACACTAATAGTCATTCGGTGGATTGTCTCGTTCTTAAAATTTTTTTAATTTCAAATTCAATTTCTTTTTCTCTTGAGGAGTGATCGGCTAAGCTGGTTTCAAAGTGTTTTTCCGAGCGACAGATAGACCTTAGAGAAACTTCTCTTGATCCCA